TATTTATTTGTTTATTTCTGGTTTTTATTTCGTTTTATAGTTTCAAGCAGGTATCGTTTTTACAGCTCATTCTATTATAAGGTACTTTGATTTTGTTTTTTCCATTAAATTTTTATTGTTTCTTTCCTTGTGAAAGTTTTATGTTACAAAAAAGAAAATATATTACTTGTATATAATTGCAAGAATTTACACAATTTTTTTACATGCATATATATTTAATACATATCTTTCTATGTAGGTATCACTATAAAAAAGCCTTAAATAAAAAAGACACATGTAATAAAAAATATTAGATGAAAATATTTTAGTGATCCCACTTTACATACATACATGCGAATAATTAATATTAAGATGTTTTTCTGAGATGCCCCCATTCTGAAATTCAAGGCCAAATCTTTAAAACATGTGGTATTTAATAGCTTGTTTAGAGCAGCCTAGAAGGCATTTTTATGAACTAAGAAATGGCTTCTTCTATAAAATTTAAAATTAGTCAAATGCTGCTTTGTAATTAAAGATGATGATATGCAAAGACATATGTTTTTTTTGTATTAATGTTTCTACTGAAGATTGAAAAGTGTTTAAAATAAATATTTTGAGCTATGCATATGTACATACTTCTAGCAAGAAGCCATGTCGGCTAGAGGAAAGAAAACTAATGTTATTTCGTGACATGAGCAGGCCTGGTGAGCTACAAAATGTTGACGTTTCTTCTAGACGGTCATCCGGCACGCATAAAGAATTATTAGAACGGTCTTGGAACAGAAACAGAAAAGATATTAAGAACTGAGGCAAGGGCGTAGCCAGGATCTAATAAAAGGGGGGAAAACGAAATATACTTGTTAATTTTTTCAGCAAACTTTTGGATTATTTCCTCCAGAATCATCTCGCAGTTTTCTATGGACGCTGTTGTGCTTCTGAGCCAGATTTTTACTCTTCGAAATGTACTAAATGATCGCTCCACTGTAGCTGTTGTGCATGGAAAATCACTCAAAATGGAAATACACGTATATATCGCTGGTAGAAACTCGCTTTATTCTTTAAATAGATCTACAACTTCATTGNCACTGTAGCTGTTGTGCATGGAAAATCACTCAAAATGGAAATACACGTATCTATCGCTGGTAGAAACTCGCTTTATTCTTTAAATAGATCTACAACTTCATTGTCCTTCAAAACTTCTTCAGACAAGTTCTTTTTATTCCATAAATTGTACCAAAGAATGAGTTCACTACCCATACCGGGATCATAGATCTGGTGAAAATGCTGCGCGTTATTTTGCACCTTTTCACTGGAACATTTAATCGAATACAATGGGTGCAATCCAGATTCTAGACAGACAAATGCAAAATTCGCGCGCAAATATAAATTCTTACGACTGCTGCCCCTTTCGCGATCAGAAAAAAAAGCATTTCTTTGTCTGTACTAATATATNCAGATTCTAGACAGACAAATGCAAAATTCGCGCGCAAATATAAATTCTTAGGACTGCTGCCCCTTTCGCGATCAGAAAAAAAAGCATTTCTTTGTCTGTACTAATATAAATATATTAAGCTATTTTTTCTGTTCGCAAAGCTCGAGAGCGGTTGTGCCAATTTTTTTGAAACCTCCCATATATGAAATCAATCGCATACTCATGGAGAAATATTTGAATTATTGAAAAAGGTAATGTGGGACCTCCCATACTAACCGATTTTTCATATTGCATATCTCTGGAAGTATTCACCAAAGGAAGGAAAGTCAACCCGAAAGGTCCTCGTAGAAAGATAAATGCGGACAGGATAAATGTCATGTCTGACAGTCAGACAGCATCAAGGCTTGTGGACATCTGAAAGTCTCTATTGATTTTTTAATTAAGCACGCATATCAGGATAAGAGTAGTCCTTTGGTTGGTACCGGTACATGAGGGTTTTGATGGCAACAAATAAGTTGACGTTCATGCAGAACGTGGGATACAACGGAGCTGAGCTACTAGGCTAATGGGTGGATTCTCAAGCTGCCGCGGAATGGCGAAGGGATAAGGCAATCGAGAAACTTATAACTCCCCCTAAGTCCGGAAGGATTGAGCACCTCCAACAGCTACCTGACTGGGCTGCTGGCTTTGTGGCTGGAATATATTATGCGATGCCCCACGAATCATAGGTCTCAGACTGTTATATTTTGGGGGACCCATTATCGTCTCCGTCTAGAATCTAAGACACGACACCCTCTAAAACGTTTAATTTTACAAGTGCTCCAAGGTTGGAGATAACTTTTATAGGGTCAGCACAATAGATCTATACACCTACATAAATATATAGATCGAATTTATTCGCTCAACTAAGTTTATAATAAAAAAACTGTTTCTTTTACAGATCATTTTTCTGAAATAGGCATTTTCTGTGGCCAAAGGTCCAATTTTCAATTTTTGATTTCAAAATTTTTAACAGGCGGACTTTATTCTAGATACTCCAATTATTATGAATTTATGACCGCAAGATACCCTGGTCCCCTATCTGACAACCTTAATTGTATGGTTTCGGTTTTAGTTTGTGCTAGACATTTACATTACACAGAACTGCGGGTCAACGCGGATGTGTTTTACGTATATAAAAAGTTTTAAGGGGTGTTTGCAGCCCTCAAGAAAAAACGAAAAATTCATATAAAATAACGCACAAGAAACGGAAGAGAAATTTTCATCTATCAAAACTTCTTAAATCAGTTTGCAGCTCTCAGCGAAAGATGCTAGAATATTTATGTATTTCTTCAGGAAAATTTGCAGCAAAAGCGAAGTACTTTTTCAACCAACGGAAATAATGAAAAGTATTTCTTGTGATTTTTCTTGAGATATGCAAACAGCCCTTTAAGTGTGATTATTTTAGCAATGGGAAAGGCATACTGATGAAACAATATTCAACGTGTGGATGGGCCGGAAGTCCACTTTTTTAACCGGAACATACATGCTTTTACCACAGATTCGGAGTATGCGGACAAAATAGGTAACTTTTATCAGAAACGTTTCTCTGGAATGGACATCCGGTCGAAACCGGAAGTCGATAATTCGACCAAAAGATAGAGCATCCCCGACTTGGTACTTCGTATTTTTCCTTCATTTTAGAAGGGGTGGTCAGGTGGCCTGGGACACGCGGTATATGGGAGGGGGCGTGGTTGTGGGCCGATTTCGCTGATTTTCAAACCAATGTCTTTTAAGATTCTCAAAAGCATGTCTACGATATTTTAAGCGCCTATCTGCATTGATTGATTTTTGGCCGGAGAAAATGCTTATTTCAGCCATAGTGCAGCGAATGAATTACTCGATACAAAAATCAGCCGCTTTGCCGGTCGTTCGTTGTTTCTCTTCAAATTTTTAGTTTGAAGATTAATTTACGCTTCATATCTAAACAATTAAATTCCGAAACATTAATAATTAAAAGCGTTTCTGATATTTTATTCAAAATTATGCTTATTATCATTCACAAACTCGCGATCAGTGTCACTTTCCAACACTCGATTAGTTTGACACCACTTGTAGCAGAAATAAAAATTGCTAGTGCAACACAAGCAAGTTGAAATATACTTCCGAAATCGATTTGCGTTCTTTCAGTTGTAGTCATACCATGATATTTGAATTTCTGAAACAGATTTCCGAAAAGTGTCTCAATTTGACAGCAAATTGCGTGGACAAGTTGGAAATTTTGCCACGTCTGACACGCTCTTAACTAAATTTGTAAAATATTTAAATAATTAAATCAATGGCTAAAACATTTTTTTTTGTAATTTTTTTACATTCTTGTACAGTTTTTGGTACACACAAAAGGGGTAATTGGCAACCGTGGTCGGAATCAACTTCATCTCGCAAATTGGGTATACATATGTACATATTTTTTCGGTATGTCCGTATTTATGCATGGGAGTATGTATTTAAGTGTTTCCTTTATTATTTAGCCAAAAGGAAATATTTCTCGTTAAATGAGTTTTAAGAGAGAAAATAAGAAACTTTACTTAGCGCTTAAGGATAATTAGGTTTTCTTTCCTCTTCGACGAGGTACGTACGTCGCCGCTAAAGACTTATCACGCTTATTCAAATAGTGTATACCAGGTTTCAGTTTGATTTTCTATGTTTTCTATGTACATACAAATTCTTATTTGAATTAGCATGAGGAACCTCTGGCGATTCTTAGCTTTCAACGCTCTGTGCAGCAATCCATATTGCTTTATTACATTAGCTCGTTTGTCTTCGTAGATTTTGGCTTCAGTAATAATAATATATTTTGCTTTTATTTATGAACGAATGTGTGTATGTATGTGTTAGATCATAATCATGGTCGCTTTAATAATATTTACATAATTCATGTCTGCTCGAATTTGAACACCGGTATTAAACAGCATAAATTTTATAATAGAAATGTGTGAATATTTTTCTTACTGAGTGTCGACCGAGTTTTTGATAATTATTTATCATAAAATTCAGATTCGTTCATTTGTTTTTTTTTTTAATACTCCCAATGAAGATAAGGTTGTCTTTTATTATTTTTATTTTATGTATGTATGTATGTATACATATATTTTCATTTGCATGTTTTCTAACGATAGTTTTACATATTCATTCACTTATAATTACAAGAATATTACGTAATAAATAATGCCGTCAAAATCACACCTTCTTTGTTTTTAAATATGTTCATAATAAATCCTTTTTGTTACTCATTTACTTTGCTCTATATATGTGTGTATGTATCATTTTGCAATTTTGTAGTATTAAATGCATCTTTATCTGTCATCACCACCACCATCATCACTAACATCGACATCGTCATTGTCAATATTACATCTATGATCACTATGATATACATAAATCACCAGATATCATCGCTATCGTCTTCATCTTCGTCTTAATCTTCATCTTTCTCTTCATAGTCAGAGTCATTTTCTCATATGTAGCTTAAAAAATATACCTTAAACATATTCTAAACATATTTATATGCATTTTTGCTTTGTTTTCTTGTTTGTGTGCTTTCTACTTCGTTTGAAATCAAAAGGTTCCCGTTGAGCTGCTCTTGATCGACGCCAAAGCTATGTGAGCGCTGATAGGTGCCCATCTGCGAAACGTGATAATAACTAGGGATCCTGTAGAAGACCCGCAATCTTGCTAAGGACTCTGTGTCATCGTTCGTTCGGTGTGTGAGTCTCCACCCTCTCTCTCATCATTCTGCCGTACGTTTTTTCATTTCCCAGCTAACCAAGCGACTTAGGATCGCGGCGCTGCCGTGGAAGCAGCTCTATGCAGGGGTTACTGTAAATATACAAATTTAGTAAGCATAGTCTGGAAAACGGTAGTGGGGGTTTAAGGACGTATGACGGGTAATGAGCAAAAATTAGTGGCAAACGTGAAGACAATATAGTACATTCGATGATATTTTTTCTGTTTTTGTGTGATTGTAAAGGTCTGGGAATACGAGAACTTGCAGGTTAAATGAATAACAAATTTTTGTATGTGTTAAAAGTAAGAAAACGTGTTTTAAATGAAAATATTTAGTTTGTTTGTCTAATGCACAATACCAGAGGAAAATCAGCAGAACTGCGTTTCAAAGCAAAATGGCGTTAACTAGCTCAGGTTAAAAACTGTCTAAAAGCACTGCATTGTTTTTAGTCCTTCACACTTACATCGCCAAGTTGTGAGCGCTTTACGTTGGCTTTCGTGGAGCCATTTCAGTTCACCTGCATCTCTTCGCCTTCCTCTTCAAGAATGACCGATTCACCAGGCCAAACAATGGGGCGTCCCTAGGTTTTCAAGTTATCAAACTTTAAAGTAAGCCGTTTTGTTTTTATATGAATAATATCTTATCTCAAAACTATGTAGCTATAGACGTGAATTTTTCAGCTGGTAATGGTGGCTAGATTATGGTTAATTTTTTCTCTTATATTGGCTTATATGTAGGTATTAAATCAGGCCAAGTGAGAGTAAGCCGAATAATTTAACTCCGTCTTTGAATTTAAGACTAGGCTAAAAGGATATTTACATTTGTACATACTAGCACATCGCTTCCAAAATGCGAAAGACTAAGTGATTAAAAAATGTCCAAAGTTTTGTTAAGGCACGTTGGCGATTACTAAAATAGTTTTGGCGGAAGGTTTTTTGGATTTTCTTTGTACATATGAAGGTATGTATAGAGATGCATTTACTGCACTAGATGTCTATAATATTGCTATATGCACACTACATACATATGTATTGAAGTGTTGTTCGATATTTCACTAGCTTAAGTAAGAGCATAATTCATATGTTACCGGCCAAACCCGATATTAGGACAAACTAGTTTTGACTAGGCAAAACTAGATCAGGCGCCACAATATTTTTGAGCAGAACACCTTTCTGCGTAGGCGGGCATAGGCCACGCTTAAAAAACAATAACCCTCATTAGTCCAACTCCAGCTACGCATTCCACAATATTGCGTATGTATTGTATGCGTCCAACTTGATTTCGCGTTGGACGGATGTATCAGATTTAGATAGAACTACTAATTTCGCCCAAGAAAAACTAGTTTGTCCTAAGATCGGGTTTGGCCGGTAACAGATACATAACTACATATGTATGTATATATGCTCTTCACCTTAATGTATTTATGGTTAGTAGCTATTTTACATTGCGATTAGCCATTTTGATTTGAAGGTACATGCAAATATTTTTATTAATAAAATATGATTCTAATTTAGGAAAACGTGTGTGTATTAAATGTTTTTGAAGTGTACCTATACAAGTTCATATAAATGTATTTTTGATACTTAGACGTAACTGGGAATAATAATTATAAAAGGCGTAACTCAGAGTTTGATTTTGACTGGAGGTGGCCCAGTGTAATTTAAAAATATGTAATTCGATTTATTCTTCCAGAAAGCCATAGAGAAAGTGTAAGCGCAAAATATTATTATTATTATTAAACTGGATAACGCCCATTTATGTGTATTCCAAATACGAGATGTGCCTCTCTTATATAAGTATTATGCCTAGTCAGCTCTTTTATCAGATCAGATCAGTATTTACGTATACACATGTGTACTTATACATATATGCATATCTTTATTTATATAGGTACATATGAGGATGACATTTACTACGAGTACGTATTGCATTCTATTATTTTTTAGTAAAAATATTTTGTATGGGTATTTAGAAAGTATTTATTTATGTACATAAGATAAAATATTTAAATTTGTTTTTATGTATGTTAACTCAGATCAACAGTAATAAGCTTGCAAATGCTCCAAGCGGAAACTCAGATTGTCAGATTTTTTGTCGGCCTCTTATGAAATCTGTAAAATATTACATCAGCATCCTCATGAAGGAATATATCTGTGGACATTTGATAAAACCATTTCTATCGAGCGAGATCATTTTCTCTGTTAAGCAGTAGTTCCTTGAATGATATTTTTATATTTAATCATTAATTGTAGTTCAAGATTGAATACCAAATAAAAAAATGAAAAACTGAATATGCAAGTTTCGTTTTACTCTAATTTCCAACCTACAGAAATGGTTTTGCCAAAAGTCCACAGATATGTTTGCATTTGGGCGATTCATAAGGTCTCCTACTTAGTCATAATGTCATTCATTTTATAAAAAAAATNCTATCGAGCGAGATCATTTTCTCTGTTAAGCAGTAGTTCCTTGAATGATACTTTTATATTTAATCATTAATTGTAGTTCAAGATTGAATACTAAATAAAAAAATGAAAAACTGAATATGCAAGTTTCGTTTTACTCTAATTTCCAACCTACAGAAATGGTTTTGCCAAAAGTCCACAGATATGTTTCATTTTATAAAAAAAAATATATATTTGGCATTCACTCTTTTGCTAAGCCTTTAGACAAATAATGCAGCGACCTGTACCGTCGCCTCCGAACGACCAATAAATTTTATGAGAAGCATTATCAAGCCTGCCGTTAAATAGGTGGTAGGCGTTGTTCATGCCCGATTTTTCCCATTTCCAATACCATCCGTCGTTGACTGAAAAGAAATACACGTACCATGTTTCGTTAATTTATATAAATTTTTACTCGAGTCATCGTGTGCCCAGGCGGACTGACGGGCAGACAGACACGGGTTAATCGATTTATCTTTTCATTTTGAGCATTTTGTTATATACTATATATGTACGGTGACCATCCGTTCTGTTTTTTGCAGGACCGTACTGTTTTTCAAAGGTCGGTCCTGCGTAGTTTTCCAAACCTGAAAATGTACTGCTTTTTTCCAAGTGTCCTGCATTTGTCCCGCATTTTATCCGTTATTTTAAAATTATCGGACAATGGATGGATTTTTTCAAAAAAGTGTTTCTTGGTACTTTTCGTAGCTTTTCTTCAATATCTCATGAAAAAATCTCCCAATCAACGTAAGCGACTTACATCTCGAAGGGTATTGATGTGCCTCTTACCAAAATATATAACTTGTGGCGACTTCAATGAAAATTATTAGTGCTACAGGCGACCATTTGCATTTTGTCGTCAAAGTCGAAAAAAGTGAGATTTTCAATCAGATACGAAGTTTTATTTGATTATTTTTTTCATTAGTTTAAAAATTCGATAAAGAAGATATATCATTACAGTAAATTTTGAGCCAAAGATAATGAAAATCGGATTAGAAATGTAAATGCAATGAAGTGCAATCTGCACAAATTATATATCTTTGTAAGGGCACATAAATACCTTTGTAACTCGTCGTTTAAGTCGATTTATGACGTCGATTTTTGACAAATAACTGCGAAAGGTACAAAAAACAAAAAAAAGGGTATTGTGTTCGCTTTGAACGACTCAAAATTTGCGTAAAAAATAATCTTTTACTATACTTTTATAAATATTCATGTAAAAAAAGATTAATATCGATGAAGGAAACGTGATTCGTTTTTAAAGTTTAAAATGTATTAAGAATTTTGAATCATAAATACTCTTTTGATATTTTTATACTACGTAAATATTTGTAGGCATATTTTTAAAAATTCTCCTTCATTTTGAATCCATATTTATGGTCACCGTATATATATGTATGTTTATGTCTATATCGATTTCTTTAGGCTGTTACAAACAATCGTTTTGTGAACGAAGTTATAATACTTTTGTGGGTATAAAAAACAATAAAAACTAAACAAATTAAATGTTTTGCATTAAAACCAGCAAGTTTGAGTGAAACCCGGCACATTTCAAGGCTAGACCGGGCTAACGGAACAAACAGTCTAACCCTGATCAAAAAATGAAATTAGGCTGCACGGACACAATTTATTTTGTGATTAAAGTCTTATTTCATTCACAAAATGAATTTAGACTTCCGGTGAAATAAGAAGGCGGCCTTAATGCACGCGGTCTTATTTCCGCTCACCCACAACCACAGAGAGTCCGACTACCTTTCTCTCAACTATTTAAGAACAAAGTTGGATATAACAATTGGGTAACAGACTGTAGAATAACAGAAGTAATGTTTCGCTTTTATAGCGTGAAAACAAGCAACATTTTCTACCGCTCTCAGGGCTGAATTTCTAGCATTGCTTGGGGCAATATCACAGTGCAGCGCAGCTAATTTCAAGTTAAAACTCGACCATAGTGAAAAATGCATTACTACATAGATTGCGACTAAATAATATACTCTCGCTGTTCCTTTAATCACTGAAAGTCTAAGTACTACGATTTCGGCAAACAATTTTTCCAGTTGTACGATCTATGGATATTATACCTCCATAATCTAGTTGATCAGCCAAGCAAGCCTAACCTGTTCTAAAATATGTACATTAGACTGCATCACCAAAAAAAAGTTGCGTTTTTTCCGCCGGGATTACAAAATTTATTAATTTTAAAAAATATTTCGGAAAAATATTAAGATTTAAGTGAGCTGGACTGCTTTCAAAATACCTCCAAAAATGGAGTTTTTATGAATAAAAATAGTTTCTTAAAGAACTTTTTGAAAAAAGTCCCCTCAGATGACAAAACAGATTAAGCTTAAAAAATCTGCATGAAAATATTTAAAAATCTTTTCAACGGAATCGTAAGAAGGAGATTTTTGATGCTGTTTTTTTACTTTTTTCCAAAGATTGATTTACGAAAAACTTGAATAACTGTCCCAAAACTATTCTGATTTAGTCTTATGGGATCTCAATAGAAAGTTATTTTCATACTGTTTTTATTTCTGTCCAAACAAAAAATCATTCAAGTCCCAATTTTTTTTTTCAAATACCAGCACATCTTAATTCAACTTTGAATGACGTTGGTTCATCCTACCTTTCTCTTTCAACCTTTGAATGAGTTTATTAGCAAAGAAATAGAAAGGGTGAGAAAATACCTTTCCACCGACACCTCATAAGTCTAAATCAGAAGAGTTTAGGCTCAGTTATTCAAGTTTTTCTTATAGCAGTCTTTGAAAGAAGTTAAAAAACAGCATCAAAAATGTCATCATTACGATTCCGCTCAATNTCCAAACAAAAAATCATTCAAGTCCCAATTTTTTTTTTCAAATACCAGCACATCTTAATTCAACTTTGAATGACGTTGGTTCATCCTACCTTTCTCTTTCAACCTTTGAATGAGTTTATTAGCAAAGAAATAGAAAGGGTGAGAAAATACCTTTCCACCGACACCTCATAAGTCTAAATCAGAAGAGTTTAGGCTCAGTTATTCAAGTTTTTCTTATAGCAGTCTTTGAAAGAAGTTAAAAAACAGCATCAAAAATCTCATCATTACGATTCCGCTCAATTTTTTTTAAATATTTTTAAAATATATTTGTGCAAATTTTTTAAGCTTAAGCTCATTTAAGGGGATTTCAAAAAAAAAATTTAAGAAACTATTTTTATTCATAAAAAACTCCATTTTTGGAGGTATTTTGAAATTGGTCTAGCTCACTTAAATCTTAATATTTTAGTGGACGTCTTAAAATATAATAGATTTTATAATTCCAATGGAAAAATAGTACCGATTTTTTTTTGTATGGGGAGTGATGCAGTCTAATGCACATATGTACGTCTGTGTAGCTTATTGTGGCTTATTACTGCTTTTCATGAGTTATATTTTCGTAAAGTTTGCACCAATGCATTTTCCTTGGTAGAATTCATGTTTGGCTAATTATTTACAGTTAATTATACTTGTAAGGGGAGTTTGCAAGCAAAAAAACAAAGAATCGCTTAAATATCATTCACATCATGCATAAATGTATATATTGAAAATTAGTTACATATTTAATTGCTGTAAGCATAAATATCAAATGCGAATCGGTGGCAAGGGAAATGTTTGAATGTTTCTAAAGGTACACAGGACATACCCATAAACTACGTTGAGCGATTCAATGCCAAACGACTAAGTCGGTGAAATGGTCTAAACGAGTGTGAGCTTTACGATATTTTTTTTTTTTTTTTTAATTAATTGTATCAGATTACATTTTTTATACTTTTTTAATTTTTTTGTATTATGTAATTATAGCGTTTATTTATGTACATAGTATGTATGTAATAAGAAAGTTGTATTTGACTGCTTGTAGTGTTATGTATTTGCGTAGGTTTTATGTAATGTTTGTACAGTATCCCATACGTGTGGTTTTTGAGTAAGTGGTAGCAGTTTTTTAATTATCATTTTCTGTTTCTTGCTCGAGCGTGGAGAACGAGTACTAAATGTGTGGACACAGGCAATTAAGCAATTGGAAAAGGTAAGTACAATGTTCATAATTAGGTGGATAGAATTATGTAAAGTGTTATATTTAAATAAAGTCTTAAAATAGAATATTTTCTATCAACAATTGCATTAAACGAATTTTATAAATTTTTGCTTGTCTTTGCAATGTGTCGAGGGCTAAGCTACATTTGGAATACTTTTGAATAGGATGTGAACCGATTTTTAGGCCTGATTTTAAGGTAAGTAAGGTCCATAAGGCTAGGCGAATAGAATTCAAAAATATTTGTAATGCATATAAATATATGTATGTACGTGTATCTATGGTAATTTTTTAGTTTTTGAAGAACTTGAAGAAGAAACGTTAGATTAATGGATGTTTTGAAATTTTTTTAGACATTTTTTTATTAATTTTCAATTTGGCTACGTGTGATTAGATTCGTGTTTTTTGTGTTGCTTTTGTTTTATTTTTTTTTTAGTACGGATGCGTGTGTTCGCTACAGTTTGAGTGAGTCAAGTGATACAATTGATGAGCGCCTAGATAGACCTAAATTAGTGGGACAACTGACCAGTGATGTTGTTCCAAAGAGTTTGTACCAGCCGATAACGATATTCGATAAATTTAAATCATCGAGCATTATTTGAGCCACACCCATAAAAACTTTCTTCTCGATGCGTCCATAATCACCCCAAACAGTCACCTGAAAACAGAATACAGAAAATTATACATACATATGAATCAGGGTTGTTGCGAATATTCGCATTCGCAACCGCGGAGCTTCCGCATTAAATTTAACATTCGCATTCGCAATAATAAATGCGGAGCTTTTGCGAATGCGAATATTGTGCAAGTGCTCCGATAAAACGTGTATATGGCAAACAAAATTTTGTAAAAAAAATAAATATTCTTATCCGATTCGGCTGATAGCCACGACTTTGAAAACAGAATTTTGTTCAAAAATAATATATTTTTTTTCCATATCCACCTATAAGCACAAATTTTTCAAACCAGTCGCAGAAGAAAGTATTAAAAATGTATTTTTAAAAAATAAAATTGGAAAACGCTGATGAAGTTGCAAATTCCCCAAATTCTGAAACAGCCAAAGGAATGAGAATGAAGAATTCTTTTTAAAAAAGGTTTAGAAAAACCTGACATACGATNCTATAAGCACAAATTTTTCAAACCAGTCGCAGAAGAAAGTATTAAAAATGTATTTTTAAAAAATAAAATTGGAAAACGCTGATGAAGTTGCAAATTCCCCAAATTCTGAAACAGCCAAAGGAATGAGAATGAAGAATTCTTTTTAAAAAAGGTTTAGAAAAACCTGACATACGATCTCGCCATTATGCTAGATTTCAATTGTTTCTCATAAATACTTGACATCCGCATTCGCATCCGCATTCACGGATGTTAGCCGTTAGATATTTNTCTCGCCATTATGCTAGATTTCAATTGTTTCTCATAAATACTTGACATCCTCATTCGCATCCGCATTCACGGATGTTACCCGTTAGATATTTGCATCGGCATTCGCATCCGCGGATGTTTAAAATTCCACATTCGCAACATCCCTAATATGAACATACCACTTTGTTAAAGGTTTTGTAAACATGATAAAAATGGGCAACTGGCTTGATGAACTTAAAAATAAATTTTTAGCAAAAAACACTGAATTTTATCGGGCTCGATCGTGTATTTAATATCGACTTCTATATTGCTAGTACATTCAAAGTAAATTCCTCAACTTCAGAGTGCTTCCAAATGTAGCAAAGAGAGATCCGATAAGAGAATGTACCCAAAATGGCAATTTGACTCTTAAAAATTCAGGAACGGTTTACCTGATTTTCATTTAGGGGATTCTTTGGACGTGCTCTTTTAATTTTTTTCTGGCGCTATTTTGCAGGACTTTTTTTTTTCTTTTTTAGTAACTCTAGAACTACTGAAAAGCTACTCAGAACAGTTTTAATTTTAATTTTTACGAACATTACACTTTTTTGAAGAACAAATTTTCGGCGTAATTTTGCAGAATTTTTTTTCCTTTTCAGGAACTCTTGAACATTTGAAAAGCTACACAGAACAATTTTAATTTCTATTTTTTAAAGCTAAACTTTTTCTAATTTTTCGACGTAATTTTGTAGTTAGTTTTTTGCTTTTCATGAACTCTGGAACTATGGAAAAGCTATTCAAAACAGTTTTAATTTTAGTTTTTTAAAACATTAATATTTTCGGGTTTTTGAAAAAATGTTCTTTTATGTGGGCGATTTCACCGTCACGGGTTGGACATTTGTACAGAAAATTTTTCTTTCTTGCTTAAATTTATGTATAAAGTACTCAACAATTCTACATTTTGATAAAGCTACACCTAACTGACAGTTATATGAGTTATTACAAAATACGAAGCTACTTTTATAAGGAAAAAATCTGATTTATTTCTTCTGTCATGGGTGGGACAAAAAAAGGAACCTGCTTTCTGGAGCAGATATATTTACGGAAACTCTGCGAATTTATATCACTTTTCTGTGTGAACTTGATGTCTTATAATAAAATTAAGAACCAGGAACACAAACAAAGCAAAAACTACAAAAAATATGGATTTATTAAAAAAAAAATCCGAAATTCCTCTGTCACGGGTGGGACNTCTGGAGCAGATATATTTACGGAAACTCTGCGAATTTATATCACTTTTCTATGTGAACTTGATTCTTATAATAAAATTAAGAACCAGGAACACAAACAAAGCAAAAACTACAAAAAATATGGATTTATTGAAAAAAAAATCCGAAATTCCTCTGTCACGGGTGGGATAATATTTGTCACGGGTAGGACACGTACGAATTTTTATATGAAAGGGAGCTTTTAGTATGGTCTATATATAAAGTTTAGTTATTAACAAATATAAGAAGCCAAGTAGGGGTTAAATTCCTTCACGTTTTATGTTAGGATGGGGCCTTTTATATAGAAGAAAATGCTTAGCACCGTCAGCCAAAAAAATTATTAAAAATTTACGCGATCTCCTAGCGTCTTGAAATGTTCACTTTTTCCTACTTTAAATTTAATACGCTATAAAACTGCATATATAGAATTTTTCTAAAAACTATGAACAAAATAATTAAATTTTTGGGTGTAACTGTTAAATTTTTTTGNAAATGTTCACTTTTTCCTACTTTAAATTTAATACGCTATAAAACTGCATATATAGAATTTTTCTAAAAACTATGAACAAAAAAATTTTTGGGTGTAACTGTTAAATTTTTTTTAAATTTATAATTTTTGTACGAAGTTTTAAATGTGGATTGCTTATGTGGTTCTGGTTATGTAATGTGCTAGAACTATGAACATTAAATAAACAAAAGAAAAATCCAAAACTGGTCAAAATGTCACTTAACTTAAAGAGCTGGCCACAAGGGTATATAGGTAATGGGCGAGTCCGCTTCGGTAATTAAATATAACAACTTTTAGCTTTTTTTGTCGCGGGTGGGACAAGACCAATGCTGCTTAATAATAACTCATAATATAGATAGAGCAGTCATATAATTTAATATATAACACAATTTTATTAAAAGCAGTTGAGTTCTAAATACTATATATTTTTCTTACCAAACATTTGAATTATGAATCGCAAATTATTTGACAAGTGCATTCAACACAACCTACTTTAAACTAAATCAAAAAATTTACTTAGAACTTGATTTCAAAACGTAAAAAAGGTAATAAAAATGCATTTAGTGCTTTAAGTTGTTATTTTTTGGTTGATTCAAGATTTTTACAAATGTTTTATCTACACGTTTGTTAGTTTTATAGAGAAAAATTTTTTTGCACTGAGGTCCACTTTCCCATGGAACTTCCCATGTATAATTTTGCAGAACATTTTTTCCCCAACTTTAGTTTTCATTTTTCGAAGGTTACATTTTTTGGATTTAAAAAAAGGAAAATGTCAAAATTTTTCGACAGAATTCAATTTTTTTTTTTTTTGGTTTGCAGTTTTATAACCCATTCAATATACGTAAGTATAATAAAACGGATGCTTGAAATAGCTCAAAAATTGGGATTGAGATTTTTTCGTCTGACGGTGCTGAACATTTCTTCTTTCCTATAGCTGCTTTTTCACAAGTTTTTTTTGTACTTTTAGCTGATTTTTTTGCCGATTGATTGATTGAACTTCCTTTTCATATGCGCTGCAAAAAATGTTATGAAAAACTTTACAAAAAGCTGCTCATGTCTAGTTTTTCATATAGTTCTGATACTCAAAGAGAACAGCGATGCACTTGCATTCAAATCATGAAGGCGATGCATGCATCCCTAGGAACCGAAAGTCTCATATTCTCGGGAATATTGATACTTATTCAAATATGAGCAAATGACTGGCTTGCTTCGCGAAGCCTGATAAGAACCTTTGCATTGACCAATACAAAAATAGTGTAAAAATGCAAAAGCGGTTTGTAATGTACACATTATTAGCTTAGATTAAAGGACTAAAGAGCAGACCTTCCTTACTCATAGGCCAAGTATAATAGCGCTGAGATAACATTTCGTATATGTACTAATCTCCTTCGATGCTATGAGCTCTTATTTCCACTCAAGAGATATCTGCAAGTATTGCAAGGTTTTCCAAGAATGCGTAATCTCCATTTAAAATCCTGCTGTTGCACTGGAAAAAAGAGTTTTCCCGTCAAACGCGGTCATTGATGTTCCTACCGTGTTCTTTTTAATTCGTCACACTTCTTCTTGATATAATAATAATAATAGATTGGCGCTTACACATATGTTAGTGTTCGGCGAGCTTCTCCTCCGATTTGTGGCATGGGCTCTGATGTTTTCACACAAAGCGGAGGGACCCACAGTTTTACGCCGACTCCGAACGGCGATTGTATTTTTATAACAAGTTGTTTTTCATGGCAGAGAAAAAACCTTTTTTCTATACTTTTTTGTGATGTTGCTTTGACCAGGCTTTGAAGCCAGGCGTTGCGGAGTGGAAGCGCGCACTGCTTGCCACTACACTACAGCGGGCTTTATTAAGTCATCTAAAAAGTAAATTTGTAGAGGGGTATGTAAATATGTAAAGGGGTATATAAATATCTAAAGACTTTTAAATTAAAATGGACGGTCTGTGGGAATAAATGGGACTCCTTACAGAAACACATCTCCTCCTTTGCGGCATCCAGAAATAGTTCTTGCTGCAATTATATTGGTAATAATTTTCTTTACTAAAAAACTAGTTTACGTGGATTAAGGCACCTAAAGAAGAATGAAATGCGCTTTAATTTTTACATTGATATTCTTTGAATGTAGACTTTTTGCAAACTCCCATCCCTATTTAGTTTACAACAGGCCATTCAGTTTAACTGTCTATTTGTAATGGATCAAAGGCGGTGGTTCTCGAGCGTACTACATCTATTGGATGTGCCACGACTCTGGTAAACACTCACCCTCTTTCAGTTTACTATAAACGCCACGCCCTCTCGAACATACTCATTTGTATACATTTACCATAGATGTTCTCACCAAATTTAAAAGTCATGCGAGTTAGGGGTCCGAAGGTATAGCAAATGTCAGATTTCACGGCCATGGAATGTGTTGCTGCCCCTTATACAAACTCACTTAGGTTTAATTCGCTATAAGCGCTTACTTTAGTTACGTTTTTACACAAAATTCCGAGGTCATGTGACTTATCACTCTTAAGTTATAGGTGATTAAAATTTG